GATGTCTCCAAGTCGCCAGGACCCGTGCGATGGGCGCAGTTCTCCGATTTGGAGTGAAGAAACTGGTTAAGATCATTCGCAGCCTCGATGCTATTAGGCTGTGTATTTTCCACAGCTCGTTCCAGGCTGCGTTTCAGTGCAAGTTATCTCAATAACAAAACAATGAGAGCAACATTTCCCTTCCATTCTGGCAGCTGCCAGCAGTGCCCATTAAGAATGCCAGTGACCACAGTGAGGAGCAGCTGCTGCATCAAGCCTGGTTAGAAACAAGTTCATACACATTCATAGACACACCACAGTGGCAAAATCTGCTTAAAGGGGGTGTAAACAATTCCAGAATCGAGACCATTAAAATGAAAGGTAGATGCTTACCTAGTTTTGAGGAGGCAGGACAAAGGAATGCTGTCTCATGTGCAAGAGGGTGATTTTTATATTAATCCATGACTTCCGTGAAAGCTCCCATTTATCTTCAGGTCGTGGTTGGCCCCCTGAGCAGCTCCGGTTGCTGCAGCCTCCATGCAATTTACAGCTGACCATTTACAGCAGTGGTGACTTCTGCAAGGTCACTGGCAATGGCTCCACCTGCATGAATACCACACAGAACTGGGACATTAAAATGCACTTATTACAAACTATATTGTGACTGGCTTTTCAGTCCAATGGGAGCTGCTGGTGTTTATTCAGGAGCCTAGAACACTGAAATGAAGTGTAACTTTGTTGGCAGAGCCATCAGAGCCCTTGGCTACCCTTCTACAGAGAAAAGGGGAGACACTGCTGCTCCCCTCTCCCCACCAAACATTTGAGGTGAGCTGCCAGCCACAGAGGAAAACGAGAGCAGAAAATGCAGTAAACAAGAGGCAAGTTAGGGCATAGCCAGCCCCACCAAACTGGAGTAGAATTGAGCTCTAAGGCCTGGAAAAATTCACTGGAAAAGCCTCTGCCTTTGATGAATCTGAGATTTAGTGTGAAGTTTCGTGGCTTGTGTTTCTTATTTATCCCTGAGACCCCTCCCCTCAATCCAGCTGTGAGATGGGCTTGGCATGGTTTCCTATGCATACAGAAAGCCTGCAGAACAGCAGGGTTTGTTTTTTTTCCAAGCCCTGAACAGCTGGGCTGTATTTCCCATCATACAAGTGTGGGTCAGAGACCAGTTTGTAGGCAGAAGGATTTAAGGTGGGATGGCCCTGAGCACCTGACTAGTCTGGACAAGACTGGCATCAGCCTTCCCCAAGCTGCTGCTCTGCTGTGTCATAAACCATGGAGAGGTGAGGGAAGCTTTCCCATGGAATTTGGGATTGACTGGGCCAGGGCAGTATGTACTTCAGCTGTAAAAACCATGTCCCAAATTCAAAGGAAAAGTGTGTTACCAGGACGGATCTCCAGTATCCTGAGAAGATGCCACAGGGACAGAACACAGACTTGCTTATCTATTGTCACACGGTGGCAGCTGCAACAAGGAGCAGAAACTGTTAATTCCTTTGGCTAGCTTCTCTCATAGCAGCCAAGATTCCTGCACCAGACACTTTCCTCTTGCTCTGGCTCCTGCCCTAGATGCCTGTCACACTGCTGTGAGCTCTGTGGGAGTGAGAAGAGAAACCACAGCCCAGGAAAAGACAGAGCAGGCCCTGGGATCTCTCTCCTGTGAGCTGAAACCACAGGAACAGCTGTGCCATCCCCCAGCCATGGAGGTGCATCCACCCCAGCCTCCACAACCAGCTCATGTCCACCAATGACTTCAGAGTGACCTTTTCTCACCTGAAAACATGATGTGTGTTTCATTTTACAGCATGTGATAGTTATTACTTCAGTGCATTCCAAATCTGGCCCTTGGCAGCATTATGTGTATTATACTTTCAGCTTCAAGCTGGATTGCTTGTTCTGATTTGCACTCAGCTGTTCCTTATAGCAAGAGAGGAGGGAGATGAAAATCAAACTGCATGAAGGAGGCACAGCAAAAACTGCTTAGGAGCAAAACAGACTGAGATGTTCTGTTTAGTTTTCCTAATTCCTTTTTCATACGCTGTGAATATATCAAAGGGAACATAATTACACTCATACAAAGAAAAAAGCCACTAAAAAACCCCACTAACCAACAAGTGAACGAAACCCCACAGAACTGAGCCAACTAGTTTTTCTGCAAGCCTAGATTTTGTAGCTATGCTAGTATTGGGACCTTGAGTTGTTATGTGCTCTGTTCTGTTGGCCCACAACGTAGTGAGGCAAAATCTCTCCTTGTTCCACCTCCTCCCTTTCTCTCAGCCTTGTCCCATGAAGGTAGATCTGGCCAACAGCTTTCCAACACTCCCTCACATCAATACAGATCTCCATGGTGGGGCTCCGATGACAGAGCTGCCAACAGCTACACTTCCTGACCAGCCAGGAAAAGAAAAAGTGGAAAAGCTGCATAACTGTGTTTCCAACTCAGCAGCACTTACTTTTTACTTTCCCTCTTTTAATTTCAAGATATTTTTTTTGAGAACAGTATTCAAACACAATGTTTACTTATACAGGGATGTGCAAACACTTGGACATCTCAGTTCCCAGAGAAGGTGTGCAGGAGAAGCCCAAATTTCTCAGAAAGCCCCTGCACAGTCAGAGCAGCACAGAAACACCACACACGTCTCTGAGCACTGTGAAAGGAAGAGGTAAGGGCCATGGCATCTGATCCATGTCCTCACCAGCAACCTCACCAGCTCAGGGAGCAAGAAGGGAGGTGCAATAAAGAGGCTCCAGCTGCCAGTGAAAGCTCACTGCAGCTGTGTATCTGCCAAAAGCCATTCCTTTCTCTATAATCCAAACCAAAGTAACATGGCAGCAAGGATGAGCCTTCTGTCAAGGGAGATGATGACTGCCAGACACTGGCTGTGAGTAATCCTCAGGAACTTGGGAATGATCTGAGCCATATTCTGATCCCACTGATGAACATGTATCTGTTTTTTGGGTGGCACAGAGTGGGTATGGGTAGGAGAGAAGCAGTGGTAGGACCTGTGTTTGGGTAAGGACTTCCTCAGTGCACCCCAGTTCAGCATCCCTGATTCTGTCTCTGACCCACCACTGAAGCACAGCAACTTGAGCTGATTTGGAAGTACCAGCTACTGAGTAAACCAGCTGTGCCTTCACTGTGGTGGATGGAGTCCTGGCAAAAACCAGCATGCTCTCATCACCTTCAAAAAAACCAGGCTGACATTTCCAGTATTTTTCTCACAGCTGTCTTAACTTGCAGGAAAGTAATGGTTGTGATTCATCCTTTTATCTTTACTCTGAAGAAGGAAAAAGAGAGTGGTTTTAGCCTGGCTTTAAAATTGTTTTCTAAATAAAGTCATCTGTGCTCTAGATCTCCAGTTACAGCAAGGAGTGCCATACACCATACCAATTTATGGGACAATAGATCATTAGGGAGAACTGTGATGAACCAATTATTTGTTAATTCAGCATCATGTTTTGACAGTGCACTGTTTAACTAGACCCTACAAAAATTTAATTACTAATGCACTTTATGCTTCTTCATTAATACTGTTAATATTTAATCCTTCCCCAGACTTGGAGTGCCCACAGACAATGCTGTTCCAAGGCAGCAGCAGGCATTTGCTTTATTACCTTGGCAGCCACACCAGACCACTATGAACCTGGAGGAGAATCAGGCCTCCTCTATGCTCAGATGGCAACAGGAATGCCACTATTCCAGGGGAGGGGAAAGAATTCCTGCAGCTACATTAAAAGCTCTTGTGTTTATTAGTGAAAATACTAACATTTCCCGGTATGCTTTCAAATTGTAGCCAAGGATTTTGCCTTTGGTTTGGAGCTGCTTGTAAAAACAACAAAGTCATACCCAACCAGTAACTTGAGGACAATCAGCTGCAAATGTAACTCCCACAGATGCAGGCAGAAGCTGGCTGGTCTAGAACCTGGTGTGCAGCCTTGGGAGTTTGAAGAATGTCCTGAGACTGGTTTGTGAGCTAAAGCACTTGCTTTTCTCTAATGGGGAGCAAATTTCTGTATACAGAACAAAACCCATTGCAGAGACAAACAGTACCTGTCAAAAGTGCCACTAAGTATCGCTACCATTCCCTAGAAAGGCCAAGCAGGATGAATTCAAATGGCAGGAAGCAAGAAGAAGAGATGGTACCTAAAATGTACTACCCATGAGTCCAAGTTCATTAATCATTAGTTGACAAAACCCAGCAGACTGTTACCTGGTATTTGGCATTTCACCTTCAGCCTGGAGAGAGCTGCATCAGCCAGGAGTGAGGACAGGCCAGTTCTGGGGCTGTGTTCAGCACTCTAGAGGCAGCTAGGTTTGAACAGGAGAGCCTCAGCAACACAGTGAAAAGCTTTGAGTAAGGATGACAAGATCTGGCCTGTTAGGTTTAATGTTTTAATCTGCTGCCCAAGTGTACTGTGGCTCTAATCACAGCCATGGTGGATTCCTCGAGTAGCTGAAGATTAGAGAGACCATCAGTAATCCCTGCTGAGCTGCACAGATGAAAGCTAACAAGAGGATTTAAGGAGGAAATAAGGTATATCCAGAAATTCATTATGTTCCAGTTGAGACAAGACAATATCTGACAACTGAGCATAGTCCAGAAAACTGGAAACAGATATTGAAAAAGAGCAAATTTCAACAGGCCTAATGCAGATGTGATGAACCAGTTATAAAGATTCAATCCAGGAAGCTCTGTCACTAAGGATGGATAGCATTCCTGTTGGTAACTGTAAGGCTCTATGCCCTAGATGGCATTGCTCTGCAACATTAGAAAATACACTCCTAAAATTCAAGCTCTCCCTGCAGTCAGCACAAAAGGATTTCAAGCAGGACAAGTGTTGATTTAAGTTCACACACAAAGCAGAGTTCTCTTTTTAAAATGTTACTTGTTTGAGACATTTGCATTGCAGCTGATATATTAATTATGCCACTTTTTATTTTCCCTGGTTGTTTTTAAAATGCTCACTTGTAAAATCTTCCAGTGTGCACGGTTTGAAGTAGTTTCACTGCACCTGCTCTCTCCAGGCTGTGGCACTCAATTGTTTTTCTTCATTCTGTGCTACTCTTCTCTAGTGACTTGCTTGGCACTGTGAAGAGAGTGCTGTTTGTTCCCCACAGTCTGAGGCTGAAGATCAGCCTCCTCCTCCTCCTCTCTGAATGCTGCAGCCTGCTGGAGGCAGCTGGACGGGAAGTGGGCAGGAGCTCAGCTGTGCCCAGAGGGCTGAGCAAGGAGGGAAACCACACAAACCCAACATACCTGCAGCTCACCCCAAGTCCCAGTGTCTCCACACTGCTCTGCCCAAGGCATGGCCATGCTTCCTCTGCTTCAGCTTCCCAGCCAGCACAGTGTGCTGGGAGCACCCCTGTGCATCCATCTCCAGCAGCAGGGACTGGGAGCTGCGCTTCCAGCTGCACTTCCAGGAGCTGTGCAGCCCAGCAGCAACCCGCAGGCTGCTCAGCTTCAGGCAGCAGAACAATCTGATTTTGGCACTAAAAGCTCTAACAGCTAAAGCCCTTCTTTTCCAGGGTGTGATTGGCTTGTCTAGGATGTCCATGTCCTGGCATGCCTGTGCAAAGTGGGGAGAAGCCTCAGGTAGGTAGGAAGTCTCACCTGGAGCTGGGAGGTGTGCACAGGGCTGTATGGAAATGCCCCAGCCTTCCTGCAGTGTAAAACCCCATTGCTTTGGGGTGCCAAGCAGCCCCACGGCCTGCCCAGCATGCACACACTCTTTCTGCTGGAATAAACAGGTCAAAATCAAGTGGGCAGAGCCTGGAGGGAGATTTTGATCTGCAATTTACAGAGAACAGATCTCTTACCTCTGCAAGTATTATTTCAAAGCAAATAACTGCTGGGGTGGCAAAGACACAAGTCAAGCCTCTGTAAAGCAAGCTAGAAGTGAGCTCCAAAGGGGAAAAACCCCCAGATTTGTGCTCTAGTTTTGCATATTTAAGGTAGTCATGGGGAGAGGAAGATTAGTTTTCTTTTAACCGGTTCGTACTTTTGCTCTGAGCTTCTTTTTTTTTGTTTTTTTGTTGTTCTGCACTAAGAATTCACATCTTTGCTTAGTCAGGGTTTGTGATGGTTGAAGAATAACTGTAAAGGCAAGACAAGAACAGCTTCTAAAGCAGCAGAAGTGAATACATGAATATGAATACATGTTCATCCATATCTACTCCATTGAAAGCAATGATGGCTTGCCTTCACACTCTGATTTTCCTAATTTTAATGGAAGTGGTTAGAAATTTATATACTTGCCTGATCTCTGAAAACAATTTCTAACTTTCCAGGCTGTAAGCTACATAAAAATTTTCTGAAGTGAAGCGTGCAAGGCAGAATCAAAAAAGATGCACATTTGTCATATCACCATGGCACAGGGCAGGGAGTGAGAGCATCTTCAGAGACCAACAGGCAACTGGAGTTCACCAAATTGTGACAAGAAACAAGATTATCCTTGAACCAGAAAACCAGTCATGGGGAAATACTTAGAGAGATGGAGCATCTGTATGGATTCCAACATATGCTTTGGGTTGCAAGCACACAGAGATGGAAATCAAACAATCACACCAATGGAAAATATTTTCAAGACAACTGCTGGGCTGGCACCGATCAAAGCCATTTTCTGCATTAACATCAAAAGCTGTACCTCACCCCTGCACTCGTGGAGTGTAGGATCAGCACACGTGCCTTTCCTGCATTGCAGGGTTCTTCTGCATCTGCAGGGAGCTGTGGATGTGCAACAACCTGCCTGAGACACAGCACTGCTTCTTGGAGACATGGAGTGCACTTCAGAAGGACCAGATCCTTTTGTCAGCAGATGTTACACAGACACAAGTAAAGGTGGTTAAGGTGAGGCAGCCAGACCCAGCTACATGCCAGGATCTCAAACCTTTCCTTCAGGATTTGATTTGGATTCCTCAGGAAATGATGAAACTGAATTTAGCTGAAGCATGTACTGGATGACTTCTAAAGGAGCTGCTGTGGGGCACACACCTTTACAGCAAACACACATTCAGTGGCACAGGTAATACAATTATAAAAGCTCTTTTCTTCTTCCTTCACTCCCTAATACAGTGCTCAGGTCAAATAAGGGGTATAAAGTACTTCCAAAATTAAGCCAAAAATTAATAAATCACTGGGATTGGAACCCAAAGGGGTGCTCTAGTCCTATGTCCAAGCACACCCTGAAATGTTAAGTTAGTACAAAGAGAGGATATTTTTATTGATAAACGTTATATTGTCTTAGTGTAGATGTCTGACACATTATTAAATCAATTGACAAAACATTTAAAGTAATTCATTCTGATAAAACTTTTTGATATTCCATAGACAATAGTGCTGTGAATTTTGTTTATAGTATAACACATTAAAAACACAGAAATACAAGTTTCTAATTTCATAGGTTACCAGCAAACAGAGAAAAATGCATGCTTTCATTTCTGTTAGATTTGTAACTTACACAGGCAAGTGGAACAGCTATGCATAGAAGTCTACTCTAGATTAAGTTGTAAAACATACAGAAAGGCTGACCTTATAACACTTGTACAAGTATGACAGAACCATTGCAACTAATTTCAAAAGGTAACAAATGTTTTGTCTGTGGCTCCACCATTTTAACACTTTCAAGCTGACTTAATAGAAAGCTATTTTGAGTAGAATTATATTACTAGAAACCACTGCTTGTTTTGCTTTCTGCTGGTTGTAAATGAACATACATTATATGTACATTTGCACTCAGTTCCATTTTCCTGCATTTTCTTCCTTGTGATTAGAAGCATCACAGAATTGCCCAGAGATAAGGGACCCAGACAGTGTCATTTGATCCCCAGACAAACAGAAAGTGCTCCTATCAGTCACTTTTATTGCTGTGCTCCCTGCAGCTTGGATGCTGTGACTGTATCACAAAGCAGAGACCTCTCCATGCCCACGATTCAGGGACTGGCACACTCTCAGCCCTCTGGTTTAGAACAAGCCACAGCAGGGATCACATTCAGCAGCCTAAGACTTCAGCAACAAACTTCAGAATAAACCCAAATTTTCAATTATAGCTCTGTGAAATTATCAGATCTTGAACAGCTGACTGCTGGGCCCTGAAATGATTTAAACATCATCCTCCCCCCTGCCCAGGATGGAGAGCTGGCCCTGGGGCTGTCCCCACATGCCTTGGTGATGCCAGGCTGACTGTGGCTGCTGAGCTTGGCTGCCTTTGGCTTGGCACCCATGCACACACATCACTTTGGGTTTGGCTTGGAAAAAACACTGGAAGGGGCTAAAAGCTGCACAGCATATTAGAGGGTTAACAAGTCTGTCTGCTCACCTTTTGTTCTCTGGAATCCTGATTTACCTGAGTCTCAACTCCCAGTGCCAGGCCTGTGCTGAGTGCTCGGCAGAAGTGCCCCTTCCACTTGTCACACACCCAGGAGAAGTGGCACTCCCACCCTCCCACATGTCCCACTGGCTGGGGCTCTGATGAATGCACCAGCAAGAGGAACACCCAAACCACACTGCCAGACCTTGCCAGGAGGCTTCATATTGCACAGGACTTTGACAGACAGCAAAAAAATTTTAAAAAAACCCAAACCAAAAACAAATCCCCCAAACTGTTACAAACATCTTCCGAGTAGTGTTTCAGTCTTGAAAGCAAAGACTGGATGCAAGGATGAAGGTAACATTCCATCAGTAACCTCACACAATACTGCCTGCATAGTAGGGATTCTCAGCTTTATAAGGGGGGACAGTGATGTCAATCACACTGCTCCTCAAGGAAATGCTAACTAAAATTTATCCCTAAATCTTCACACCAGAGAACTCTCAGGTGCACAGACTGTGACTGGCACATCCATGCAGCCAGGGTAAGAGTTGGACATACTGGGTTAGGCATCTCTCTCCTTTCTCTCTCAGAAAGGGACAGAGTACTTCTCACCTGTCCTGAACAAAGACCAAGGGTTGCAAAGATCAAGTAGCATCCAGAAAAATCTTCAGGTAAATGTGATCCCTGTGAAACTGAATTACAGACAAATTTTTGTGATGCCATACTATTTTTGCCTGCACTTGCTCTCCACTGGTGCTGCATGATTACAGATTCCCAGTGTGTCCTATGCTCCTGGCATCCATTAAAAAGAATTCAGAATGAAATTACTACACAAACACGCTTGCTTTGGCTTCTTTCAAAAACCTGCTGTGGTTCAATCTCTGTGCTTGCTCACTTCACCTATAAGCAATTTTACAAGGCAGTTCCGTGATACAGAAATGCATGTTATGCTCAGAGGTCCTGACTGCAGTGAGAAACATGAGAAGAAAAGATTGTTTCTGAGAACCAAGGATGAAAAACTCAGCTGAGCTCTATGCTTGACAGAATATGGGAGCTCATTCTATGTAAAACTTGACCATTATTACAAATCTTCATGAAAGATTGAGGGCTGTACTTTGTACAATCAGGCTTTATCTTCCTTTTTTTTTTCTTTCCTGATCTCAAATTGCCTCATATCTTCAAAAGATGGCAAAATTGAATACACTGTAAAGTCCTTTTACATCTGTAAAAGGACTCCATTGTTGCTGTTGTGTGTTCCCCCAGGAAGCCCTACTGTATCCCCCCTGATAGTGATGATGCGACAGATTCCCT